ACACATATAAATATATAGAGATATAGATATGAAAACAGACTCCTTAGAGGTAACTTGGGGTGGTCTCATTAAGATTCACTTGGTAATTCCAATGTTGTGTCCAGAGACTCCTGCCCCAGGGCAAACTTTAAAGTGTGCTTTCCCAGGATATGATGCCAGTTTTCTAACTGCCTCCCACTTAAAAAAAAAAAAAATAATGTCCTGCCTTGTTTACATGGTGTTAAGAATAGTCAACAGCAATTGTTCAGCACTCAGTGTGGAAAGTCGCACACATCGCTTTCTCTTTACAAAGCCCTGTGAGGTGGGTAGTACTATTCTCCCCATGTTACCGGCGAGGAAACAGGCTTACGTACACCCAGGGTCACACAGCTAGGGGGCGACAGAGCCAGAATGGGTCTGTCTGACCTCAGAGCCCAGTCTCTCGGCTGCTGAGCACTAAGTGAAAGGGAAGTAACCATCCCTTGATCTGGTTCTTTGAGCGTCCACAGACTCCGCTTTTGAAATAGAAAGACGGTGGAAGAGCAGAGGCCATGGGGATCGCCCACTCACCCTGATCACAGTCCCGGCAGAGCCCCGGGGACCCAGCGGTGTTGGTGGCTGCCTGGCATCACTTTTAGTGTCCCTGTCCTGGGTACTGTCCTGTCACAGTCTTGCTTATCCGGTATGGTCCTCAGCTCTAGGTGGAAAGTAACAGCAAGAACCCACCCCAGCTGTGCAAGCCCAGAACAAAGCCACAGGTGGTCTGTGGGAGCAGTGAGTGAAAAAGGAGAGGTGGAGTTGTCAAAGCTGCCTCCAGGCCTCAAGGCTACACGTAAGGGAGGGACTTTCCTACTGTGTGCAGCTTGGCCTCTGCAAGGGCCGGGGGGCACGTGCCACGCAGAGCGACCCTGGTGGAGTCAGCTGGAGACTTGCAGACACGGGACGAAGTCTGCGTCTGCATTCACACGTGCAGGGTCAGCATGAGGCAGGTGGCTCAGATAGGGTCTGAGAGGTCCCGGGTAGCAGAGCCAGGCCCAGGAGTGCAAGTTCCAGGCTGGCCCTTCCCTTGGAGGAGATGGGGTTACTCCTTCTGGGTGTCCAGGCAGAGGAAGAGAAACTGCCAGGTAGGAGTATTGAGAAGGGGGATCAGACAGTGGAGAACCTCTAAATGCTCTTCCCACCTGGGCGCCTAAACTCAGTTCTTTACCTTCTGCCTTTCATGGTCTGGGGAGAGGGAGACCTGGGCCCTGCCTGCGGCCACTACCCCAACAAGGACCGTCTTCATCAAGTTGAGCATTTGCTTTCCCATTGTGGGCCCCCTTCCACTTCCATTCTAGATTCATGCCCATCCCTTATGCTGTGTGTCATCCTGAAGGCCTGGAGGTGAGGGAGGGGAGGTAGACAGGTGCCTGGATCTGTGAGCATACCTGGGATGGGGGAGGGGGTGCTGCCCTAAGAACACAGGAAGAGGTCAGAGAGAGGCTGACTCACTCATGTTCTGTAGCCAAGTTGCTCTGGGGTGTTTCGCCTCCCACACCTGCTTCTCCCCTCACCCTGGACGCCTGTTTGTCTACCTCATCCTAAGCTAACACCTCAAAGCCAAGAGGAAATCAGTCCCCCCGCCTCCCCCCCCCCCAAGTCCCCAGCAGAGTCGGCCTCAGGAAGGAGATAAGCGAATGGGTTGAGCTGGGTTCAGGTTCATATGGAAACCCAACAGGGTTTTTTGAGAAACAGGTTAGCTGGGCCCATGTGTCTGAGTATAAGTATTTCTCTCCTGGACCTCGGCCAGCACGGCTAGAGAGCAGGCACGAGTCCTGAGTAGGGGCGATGGGGGATTGAGGAAAAAGAAAGAGACAGACACAGAGACAGTAGGGAAAGCTGGGACCGGGTGGGACAGCTGGCCCTCTGGTGCAGTACATGTATTTAACCCTTTGCACTCCGCTGTCCCCTCTCAGGGGACATCAGAATTCTAGCATATCACTCGGATGTCCCCTCTCAGGGGACATTGCAGTTTATTAGTGATTACGGGGAATTGAGTTATTTCAAAGCAACTTTTTGAGACATGCATGTTTCCCTGAAGTTTTATCTTGAAATGGCACAAGAAATTAAATCAAAATATCGTAAAATTACTAAGATATATACAAGAAATGTCAGCGGGTTTTGTGTCGGATTAAACAATAAACTACATATTCCCGATGTGGGACAAAGAAAACGGGACTGCATTGTGTGTTCTAACAGGAAAACACCTGGTGGCAGGCGTCAAACCACTTATTACTGTCAAACATGCACTAATCAGCCTGCAATGCATATTGGGGAGTGTTACAAAACTTATCATACTGTACAAAATTATAAACAATAAAATATTGTTTTTTTTGCAAATATACATTCCTCGATGTCACCCAATTCATATAAGTTCAATATCATTATAATACGTTACTTGGTTCCAAAATTATACTAAATAATACGAGGGTCTGTAAATGCACGTTTCCGCTGCAAAGTAGCGTCGAGTAGCTGGTAGCCAATGTCCAGAATGGTTCGGAGTGCAAAGGGTTAATACAGTATGATTCCAGGAAGTTTTACTAGAGTTTAAGACAAAGGAAATTATGTGAAGTCATGGTTAAAGATCAAGCTGTAGTTCTTCATTCTTGTGGCCTCATTGTAATTGTCACTCCTGGCTGAGCCCGGGTAACTGCGTCCGTTCCTTGCGCCTGAACTTAGATAATGAAACTCACCCCCTGGCACCTGAGCCCTGTTTCCAGGACGTGGCTCTGCTGACGCCACTGGACTCAGCTGACAATAATCAAAGAAATGCGCGAGGAGAGGCCGGACCCATTCTGCAGGGCCACTGAAGCTCCACAAACAGAGGAGACTCCTGTGCCTTCCATCTGAAGAGGTGGTTCAAGTCCGCGTTTTCCAGTCCCGGGTTGTGGCTTGAATGCCTTTAGTTTGTAAAACTGTCTCCGGATAACTCGGCTGCACACCCTCAGAGCCCGTGATGTTGGGGAGGAGGAAGCGGCAGCGTCTCCCGCTCAGGCCTGTGTCTCCCTCCAATGGCAGCAGGAGGTGAAAGAGCATAATGAGGGCTTTGGTTTCCAGTCGCATCACTTAGTCCCTCAGAACCTCCGTGTCTTCACCCAAAAGATAGGGGTCATCATGGGACATAGTTCCTGAGTTCAGATGGCCAGGGCCCTGCTCCGTCTCTCCTTGTGGGCCTAGGTCTCTGACCTCGTGACTAATGCCACTGATTCGGGTCCTTCCAGAGTCGACGGTCAACCTTGCTGTTCCTCCCACGGTGAAGCTGGAAAATGGGAGCTCAACCAATGTCAGCATCGCCCTTCAGTAAGTGCCCAGGCCCATTGCTGCCCTCGGCCCAGCTCATCGCCCCACGGCCGGCTCCGGCCCTTCATATCTCAAGTGTGATGCTCGTGCCTCTTCGCTTTCAGAGAAGCCAGAGGAAGAGAGGCCCCAGCCCTGGGCTGCAGACCGAGGTCCCAGAGTCTCTCTTCCCCCACTCACAGAGCCCTTGTTTCCGGGGGGAGGAGCAGGAAGGGGCTTCTCCCCAGTCATGTGCCTTTTCCCCAGCCGATAAGAGTCCTTGAGTGGCCAGCAGTTGATGCCAGACTTGAGAGTGGCTCTTTCCAAGGCTCTAAGTATTTGAGGAGAGCCCTGAGGTCAGGGGTAAGGAGCTGAGCACTCGTTAGATCACTTCCTAAAGCAGAAGGGACTCCATCTGTGGATCCCGTTTGTGAGACCCTCACACTTAGCCTCCACTGAGTCTGTCTTGCTGACCTCTGCTGGTTCTGGCATGAGGCTGCCGACCCAGTTCAGACTGTGCTGAGAGCCTCCCTCTTCTGCATCCTTCACTGCTTCCCCTGCACCTGCCTCCCGGTCACATGGATCCTGTAGAGGAAGGTCTGGAGCCCTGTCCTTTCTCTCTCCCCCTCTCCCTTTCCTCACCCGTCCTGGGAAGTCTGTTCTCAAACCACAGCTTTGGTATCAAGGCTCCCAACAGACCTACATTCCGTCTATAGCCCGGCCGCTTGCACCTGGACACCTGGTGAATCTGACATGTCATCCCCTCACCGCAGCTCTCCCCTCTCCAGAACCCTGGAGTGGCTTTCCACTGCCTTCTAAACTAACGCCAGGCCTCTCAGTGCAGACCTGAGCCCCCTGGGCTGCCCAGACATACCTCATGGCTTTCTGGGGACACGGTGCTCCCTGCTCAGACCTGAGCCTCTCCGAAGCCTTTCCCACCAGAGCAGGTGTCATCGTCCAGTCGGCCTCTGGACACCTTCTTTGGCATTCACAGCCAGTTTCACACCTTCTTGTGGTCTCAGTCAGCCCCAGTAGGACATCTTTTCCTCTGATAAAGATAGAAAGCTCCTGCCTGGCCGGTATGGCTCGGTGGTTGAGCGTTGACCTATGAACCAGGTAGTCACGGTGCGATGCCTGGTTTGTGGGCTCCCTCCCTCGTAGGGGGTGTGCAGGAGGTGGCCTATCAATGATTCTCTCTCATCATTGATGTTTGTATCTCTCTCTCCCTCTCCCTTCCTCTCTGAAATCAATAAAAATATATATATTTTTAAAAAGAAAACTCCTAAGGAGCAGGGAGCCCACCTTCTCTCCCCTCAGATTGAGCACATAGCACTTCCTCACCCTAACGGCTTGAGAATGACAGGCCCCGTGGGAAGTCCAGAGGTGGGTTGAGATCGCAGTGTCCCACTCCGCAGTAGTAATCAGACTCTTGTCCCCCACAGGCATCCCCTAAACGCAACCTTGGTGATCACTTTTGAAATCACATTTCATTCAAAAAACATCACTATCCTTGAGCTGCCGGATGAAGTAAGTAATGAACCTTAACTGGTGGGTAGAGAACTGCTGGGTAACAAAACACATTTTAATTGAGTGCTTCTGGAAGTGGGCCACCTGGTTTATAGGCCGTGGGCTGCCCCCGTCCCATCCCTCTAGAAATCTCTGATTTTGGCTTTGTTGGTCTCCTTGAGGATGGGCGTCTTATGCTGTTAGACGGAATTAGGAAGGCGATGGTAAGAAATGTAAGGCAGAAAATGGTTCTGTGAATGTAGAAGAAATTCTTAAGATAGTTTTCTAAGACTTTGCTACTCAAAGGGTGTTCAAGGCCTAGCAGCATTGTCCCTGCTGGGAACTTTTTAGAAATGCAGACTCCCAGGCCCCGTGCCAGATCCACTGATTCAAAATCTGCACATGAGCATGATCCCTGCATGATTTGAGTCCACATTAAGGTTTGCAAAGCACTGTTCTGAGATCCCATTGGTTGAGTGTTATTTCCAAAACGCAGTGCCAGAGTCTTTCTGGTATTACAGCGATAACTATTCATAGCCCTTATGCCTTTGTCTGTTAGTAAACACCCTGCTTCTGCCTTACTAAGGATTTGAGCCAATTACTGATAAATTAGATAAAAAACATCAGTAGGGGAGGCAGTATAAAGTAAATGAGGGTTTTAACAAAAAACAGACAAGATGAATACAGACATGAAATTGACCATAAGGCATGCCACGAGGCCCTGTGTGGTTGTAGAAATGAGCTGCAAACTGGCCCTGAGCCCCTTAGCAAGCAGACCGTGTGGAAGCATGGGCTTCCTGTGAGAAGGGAATCTCAGCTCATCCCATGGTGAACATTGCACATCATTAGACCCAACTTCTCCCGCCCCAGGGTATCTGGCCTGCTGCGGGCTAAGAAAAGCCAGTGGTTCTAACAGCAGGTCCTGGCATTCAGCTCTCTGAGGTCTGGCTTGATCCACAGATCGCTGGCTGGTGAGAGGAAGGGAGCCGTCCCACCTTCCCTCAGAGATGAGCCAGGGGTAGGCCCAAGGGCAGAACCACGTTCTGCTCAGAAAGTCTAGCATAAGACATCGGTGTATGGGGGTTCCAGTTGGCTGGTTGGTCGTGTTTCTCCCTTTTGTTAGTAAGCTCCCGGAAGGCGGGGACCCTGTGTGATCGTCCCTACATCTCCTAGTGCATAGTCTGCAGCTGGACACTCAGGTCCCAACAAATACATGGCACTGGATCAAATTCAGTTTTCCTATAGGTTGTGGTGCCTCCCGGAGCGACAGAGTCCTCTTTTCAAGTGACATCTCGAAATGTGGGACAAATTACTGTTTTTCTGCACGAAAACCATTCCAGCCAAACCGGGTAAGCTGGGGTTTAAGTGGTGAGAAGAAAGGCAGTGCTGGCCCGTGGGGGTTTCTCCCGGGAGCCCCATTTCAGCTCATCCTGGCCTCCAAATCCTTTCCAGCCCAAGGATACGCTTCTTGGTGATCCGCAGCAACGTCGTCAGTGTCATAAACCAGGTGGTTGGCTGGATCTACTTTGCGGCCTGGTCCATCTCCTTCTACCCGCAGGTGATCATGAACTGGAGGCGGAAAAGGTAATCTGCTGAGCTGTATGCTCAGGGTCGTTTGGTGCCCGTGTGACGGGCATTCCCCCGAGGCAGTCGGTAGCACGGGTTCAGCCCTTCCCCCTCTGCCTATCTCCTTTCCTGCCCTTTCTAGAAAGCTGTTGAGGTGAGAGCGCTAAGAGCCCGTGGTGGCACTTGTACTGCTGGGCAGTTGGTCTCTTGCCCAGTATAGCTCCTCCCTGTGAAAGCAACACAATGGGGCTTCTCAGTGAAGCGGAGGACGGGCTGAGTGGGGGCGACGTCCCCCCAAGTATTCTCTTATCTCGGTCCGTCCGGCCCTGGAGGAATTAATGTCAAGCTGTGCTACAGTACCGGAGGTGGATCCTTCAGCCTTGGAGATTAAACCTTCCCACCTTGATTATAAAAACAAAGAGGGAGGCGAGGCCAGGATATGGGTGTAGGAAGACCCTGAACTCACCTCCTCCCACAGACATACTAGGAATATACGTTACATATAGAGCAGTTCCTGCTAAAAAACTGAGGGCCTAGCCCTAGCCGGTTTGACTCGGTGGACAAAGCATTGGCCTGTGGACTGAAGGGCCCCGGGTTCAATTCCGGTCAAGGGCACATGCTTGGTTTTGAGCGCAATCCCCAGTAGGGGGTGTGCAGGAGGCAGCCCATCAATGATTCTCTCTCATCATTGATGTTTCTATCTCTCCCTCTCCCTTCCTCTCTGAAATCAATAAAAATATGTTTAAAAAAATTAAAAAACAGAGGGCCTATTGAACAGCTTCTGCACAAAAAGGATAGAGGGACCACATACAGAAGAGTAGGAGAGATGGAGACATGGTAACGAAGGGCATCCCATCTCCCACACGGAGGCCTGTAGCAGAGAGGGATGTTATGAGGGCCCTGTGCGAGGACTCACCCACCCTGGGGCACAGCAAAACTCGTTTTAAAGGCACCTAGACTATATGTGGAGGAAATACATTTAAATTGCATTTCTATACACGAATAACAATGTTTCAGAAAGAGAAATTAAGAAAATCCTATTTACAGTTGCATCTAAGAAATTAAAATACCTAGGAATAAATTTAACCAAGGAGGTGAAAGACCTGTATTCTGAAAACAGACATCAAGAAAGAAATTGACGAAGATACAAATACTAGAAAGATATACGATGCTCACAGATTGGGAGAATTAATATTGTTTAAATGTTCACACTTACCCAAAGCAATCGCAGATTCGATGCAATCCCCATCAAATTACCAAAGGCATTTTTCACAGAACTACAACAAAGAATCCTAAAATTGGTATAAAACCACAAAGACCCCAAATAGCCAAAACAATCTTGAAAAAAAAGAGATATCACATTCCCTGATATCAAACTATACCACAAGGCTGTAGTAATCAAAACAGCATGGTCCTGGCACAAAAACACAGAGATCAATGAACTAGAATAGAGAGCCCAGAAATAAACCCACACATACACAGTCAATCTTTAACAAGGGAGTTAAGAATATACAATGGGATAAAGACAGTCTCTTCAATAAATGACGTTGGGGAAACTGGACAGCTTACTGCAAAAGAATGAAACTGGACACTATCTTACACCATTTTGATTAAAGACTTGAATGTAAGACCTGAAACCATAAAACTAGAAGAAAACATGGGCAGTAAGCTCTTTGATATCAGTCTTAACATTTTTTTGGATATGTCTTCTCAGACAAGGGCAACAAAAGCAAAAATAAACAAATGGAATTCCATCAAACTAAAAAGCTTTTTGTATAGCAAAGGAAACCAACAAAACAAAAAGGCAACCTACTGAATGGGAGAAGATATTTGCAACTCATATATCTGATAAGAGGTTAATAGCCAAAATGTACAAAGAACTTATATAAGTAAGTATCAAAATAAGTAAGCTACTCGATTAAAAAGTGGGTAGAGGACTTGAATAGACCTTTTTTCAAAAGAAGGCATTCAGATGGCCAACAGGCACATGAACAGATGCTCAACATCACTACCAGGGAAATGCAGTTCAAAACCCCAAGATAGTACCTCACACCTATGAGAATGGCTATCATTCAAAAGTCAAAAAATAAGTGATCCTGCACTGAATGAGTCAGGAAGTAGGGCACACAGCATTCATTTCAATGTGGTTATCATCGTAAAGTTGACATCAGGATGACATCCAATTGTTTGGATTTCAGTATTTCTTTAATACCCTTCCTTTGTCCAGTCCACCCTCCCCTCCCTCTTCCACTAGCTAAAGTCTCTTACGAAATGGAGAACATTTGATGTGTAACTTCTTCCATTAAATTAATAAGTACTGACCTCCTAATATTTAAGTGTTTACTATCTATTGCTGTAAAGTTTTGTATATTTTGTAAACTTTTTTCCCCAAATAGTAGATGTCTAAAATCGTTGTACATCTGATTCTTTTATATTCCATTGTTCGGCACAAAGTGTGGTTTTTATTTAGAATTAAAAAAAGGAAATTGGAAAAAAAAAATAAGTGTTGTAAAGGATGTGGAGAAAAGGGAACCCTCATACACTGGTGGCAGTTTAAAATGATGAAGCCACCGTGGAAAACAGTAAGGAGGGTCCTCAAAACATTAAAAATAGGACCACCATGTGATCCAGCAATTCTATGGGTATTTATCCAAAGATGACAGAAACACTAATTTGAAAAAATATATGCACCTCTAGTTTCAGTGCAGCATTATTTGCAATATGGAAGCAACCTGAGTGCCCATTGATAGACAAATGGGTAAAGAAGATGTGGTACAGATATACAATGGAACATCACTCGGCCATAATAAAGAATGAAATCGTGCCATTTTCAACAGCGTGGATGGACCTAGAAGGTGTATGCTAAGTGAAATAGAAAAAAATAAATATTGGATGATTTTATTTATAATATGAAATCTAAAAACAAAACAGAAACAGACTCATTGGTATAGGTAACAAACTGGTGGTTACCAGAGCGGGGTAGTGGGGAGACATTGGGGAGTAGGTGCCATAGGTGAACGGGATGAAGAGGTACAAACTTCCAGGTGTGAAATCAATAACTCATGAGGGTGTGAGGTATAGCACAGGGAATATAGTCAATAATATTGTAATAACTTTGTACAGTGGCAGGTGGTAACTAGACCTATTGTGGGGATCATTTTGTAATGTATATAAATAGCAAATCACTATGGTGTATTTCTGAAATGAGTAGGATATTGTGTGACAGTTATACATCCCTGGGAGGAAAGGACAAAGTGGGCCTGCGATTGCGTCTTCATGCAGCAAGGACACAAGCTTTCCCACAGTCACCTCGCCATGTGGGCCTCTTGTGGGGCTGCTGAGCAGGGCGCCAGGGAGGGGAGGCACCTCCTTTCTGCAGGAGGCCCCAAGCTTCCCTCAGGGGCCAGGACTTGAGGCAGGAGGAACCTGGTTCCCAAGAGGGTGGGATTGAGTGGCATCGACTGTGGCATGAAGGGGGACCCAAGGCCAGTGCTCCGCCGGGCCCTCCTTCCCGTGTACTGGGAGCTCTTTCCCCTCCCCTCCCCTCCCCCGCCTTCACTGGCCGGCTCACCTGCCCCGTCTCCATCTCCCCTCCCACAGTGTTGTCGGTCTGAGCTTCGACTTCGTTACCCTGAACCTGACGGGCTTCGTGGCTTACAGCGTGTTCAACGTGGGCCTCTTCTGGGTGCCACACATCAAGGTATGGCCCTGCCCGCCCACCGCCGCCCAGCCCAAGCCGTTCCTGGCCTGGCTGCCCCTCACTCAGCTTCGTCACCCCCCTCAACAGGAGCAGTTTTTCCACAAATACCCGAACGGAGTGAACCCTGTGGCGAGTAACGACATCTTCTTCAGCCTGCACGCCGTGGCCCTCACCCTGGTGGTCCTGGTGCAGTGCCTCCTGTACGAGGTGAGAGATGGGATGGCACCTGCCCCCTGTGGCTGCCAGGCAGCACCCACCACCACCACCTGCTACCCACACCTGCTGTTTCACTACAGAGACACAGAGACCCTCAGAAAGGACACGTGTTTGATCGCTCAGCATCTGATTGATGATTGGGCCAAGATAACAGGCCAGGCACAGGGATCACACCACGAGCCCAAGGTCTTGTCCCCTCACCCCAGGTCTGGAGTGAGGGACAGAGAGGGGCATGATGATGACCCAGCAGGCGGAGAGCTGAGGGGAGGGGAGAGCATGGCCCAGCCAGCGAGGAGGGGGAAGGAGGGCGTCAGGAATTTGTGTTTACTGTGGTCCGTGGGGTGAGGAACGTTCCTGTGGCCATGGGGAAGAGGGACAGGGTGGGGCACCCCCAGCTGGGGCACCGACCGTGAAGGCCAAGGGGCAGTGAGAGCCACCACGAGCCGGTGGAGGTAGCTGGGGTTCAGTGTGAGGAGGAGGCTCACAAGGGCCCCGAGAGGTCCTGGGGGGTCTGGACTCAGCCGCGTTGGGCCATGTGTCTGGTCGCTGACGTGGTGTTTTCTTTCACTTCCCCGTGGGCGCGCCACTTCCCTCACAGAGTTCCCTTCATACACGCAAGGCCAGCCACGCTGCTTGGGCCCCACCTTCACGAACCTTCCAGGTTTTCTTACTCTTTGCTGTGGAGCTTGGGTGAAGGAGCCTTCTCTGGGGAAGGGGAAGGGGAGGGGTGGGGACAGATTCCAGAGTGGTCAGGCTCCCTCTGCATCATGGAATGAACAAGCCTGGGCTGGGATGGTGTTGGGTTCCATCCCCAACATCCTTCGCTCCTGGGGGGCTCTGGGAGGCACCCAGTTCTGCATTGTGGGAACAAGAAGCAATTGGGCTCTGGAAAGTCCAAGAAGGACTGAACTAGAGACCCCGATAGTGACAAGAGCATTGCCCCCACCCACGCCCACCTCCCCCCCTTCCCCCCTCTCATCCCCAGCGCGGCGACCAGCGGGTGTCCTGGCCCGCCATCGGCTTCCTGGTGCTCTCGTGGCTCTTCGCGCTCGTCATCCTGATTTTGGCTGCAGTCGGGGTAACCACGTGGCTGCAGTTTCTCTTCTGCTTCTCCTACATCAAGCTCGCGGTGACACTGGTCAAGTACTTTCCGCAGGTACTTCCGGGGCCTTCCTTCCCTTCCATGTGGCCACCGGGGTGAGGGGGTGAGATACAGGCCCCCGGCCCTGTCCTGGCTGGGGCGAGGACCAGGCACGGGAAGCCGCAGTGGGAGCCATGGGCCCAGCAGGACGGGACCGGGTGAAAGCTAGCCATATCGCCGCCTGCTCTTCTCTGGTGCCAGAATCTCACGAAGACTTCAGCAAAGACTCTGAGCTCACACTCAGCTGAGAGTCAGGGGTGGTGCAGGTCTCTCCATCCCAACCTTCCTAGCGGCTTCAGTTCTGCCCCATTACCACAGCCGACAGCCCTGAAAGATCAGGTGGGAGGAGGGAACCCACCACTGTGACCTCCACTCCCATCCAGGCCTGCCTTGCGGGCCCTCAGCAGCCTCCTTCGAGCACTCAGACAGGCCTCTGCAGACCCAGGGACTTAGAGTCAAGCATGCCTGCCCCATTGCTGGAGTGGCCGGGGACAGCATCGCTTATGACATAAGTGCCAACTGCAAACTCCACTTACGAGTGGAGGCCTCGTTCTCGCCTCGTTCTCACCTCGTTCTCTGTGGAGAAGCCCCTTTTCAGCTTCCCCAGCACGGGGAACCTCATGCCCAGTGGGCTCAGGAAGGAGAACGTTTTGGCCAGAGTCAAGGCCAGTCTCCTGGGGGGGCCTGAAACAGAGCCAGACCCTGAAGGATAAACAAGACTCAGTTCTGTGGACAGGAGAGGAGGGGGAATTCCAGGCTAGGGGCAGCTTACACAGCCCGCAGGCAGGAAAGCGTGGAGGCAGCAAGGACACCTGGCAGGCCGAGCAGTGTTGAGCTAAAGGAAGGTGGGGCCAGGCACCAGGGGCTTGGGAAGAAGGCTTTGGGGTGGGGGCAGGTCTTGGGGGAAGTGGGGCCTGGGTCCCTGACTGTGGGAAAGCTTGGGGCTGGGAAACCTGGGAGGCAGGAGTCCCAATTTGGAGATGTTTGAAACTGTCCAAGACTGGAGAGGTGGCAGCAAGTATGGAGAGGGTGCGAGAGGACAAAAAAGGGGACCTGGCTGATGGCTGACTGGGGGAAGACCCCTCCAGAGGCCTGGCAGAGGAACCCCGAGGGTGCTGGCGTTGGAGGGAGGAGGTGCGGCACTGGCAGCAGCGGGAGGGGGTGTCCGGTAGATCCGCCCACTAGACCCGGGAAGCCTGAGCCAGAGACCCCGGCGCCCAAGCAGGGCTGAGGCGGGAGGTAAGCCCACTCTACAGCTGGAGAAACCAAGGCTAGGAGAAGGCCCCAGGCAGCGGGCGCCAGTGGTGGAGCTGGTGTTCCAGACCAGGCGGTTCTCCCAGCCCGGGTCGCAAGCACAGCGTGGAGTCCAGGCTGAGGGGGAAGTCGTCATGGGAGATGAGGAGGAAACTCAAGTGGCTGGAAAACCACGAGAGGGCTTTGTCCTGGAACAGGGAGGGGGAAGAAGATGGAGAAGCAGCATGCCAGCTTCCCTCCGTCGGGGCTGTGTGGTGCAGGGGGGGAGTCAGGGCCCTGCTTACTGTGCGTGCGGATGACACCCCAGGACCACCCAAGCTGTTCTCCGCCAAGCCTCGTCAGAGCCCAAAGGTCACCGTGTTCTTGGGAGCTGAGGCTGGAGCACACGAGTGGGAGGAATTAGAGCCGCCCTTGTTTGGAGTGGCCGTCACGAGGCTCATGCGGCAGCCACCCAGCCCCCTCACCGCCCTCCATGTCTTTGTCTGGCTGCCCAGGCCTACATGAACTTTGTCTACAAAAGCACCGAGGGCTGGAGCATTGGCAACGTGCTTCTGGACTTCACTGGGGGCTGCTTCAGCCTCCTCCAGATGTTCCTCCAGTCCTACAACAATGGTGAGTCTATCAGCGGTGGGCCGGGCGAGCCCCACCCCCCAAGCCTGCCCCACGGCTTGGGAATCCAAGCAGTCCCAGCCCCTAGGTACCCCCAGGGGCATCTGCAAGGGCAGGGTTGGTGGTTTCCTGGACAGGTGAGGACCCCCACCCTCCACAACCCCGGGAGCTGCCAGCCTAAAACCAGATTCTGTCCCCTCTGGCGAACAGACCATTGGACACTGATCTTTGGAGACCCAACCAAGTTTGGACTCGGCATCTTCTCCATCTTCTTCGACATTGTCTTCTTCATCCAGCACTTCTGCTTGTACAGAAGGAAACCCGGGTATGAGCAGGTGAACTAGCACCCAGGGCACCAGTGTCAGTGGCCCGGGCCCTGTGCCCGACCAGGAGGCTGGAGAGCGGCCTGGAGTGCAGGGCTGGCTCGGTGTGCAACATCGGAGAAGCGTTCTCTTCCTCAGGGCCAAACACCTTAAACGTGAACCAGCCTGCCTTCGTCCAGGACTTTCCAGGGCCGGGGAGAAACCTCCCTCTGAGACAGACGCCTGACTCTGCTCCGAGATTGAAAGGCTGGCTGCTGGCGGCCCCTCGGGTCTTACTGGCCAGTCACCTGGCCCCCCTGCGACTTGATGCTGCCATTTCTATTTTCTTTAAGGCTTCAGGCAGCACCCACAGGTTCTGAGAGCCATGCCAAGCAGGACTGGACGCGGAGCTGGGAGCAGGCCTTGCCTCAAGCAACCAGTGTTTCTGGGAGCAGCTTGAAGGACTGAACTTGCAGCTTTGGTGCCACTGCTGTTCCCAGAGACCAAGCAGCCAGGTGCTGTGGCCAGTGGACTGAGGGGTGCTGTGCTGGTGCTGGTGGCAGAGGGGCTGGGACTTTGGGGTTAGGCCTTGGGGTCCCTTCTCTGAGTCTGAACACCCCCCTTCTTGACACTTATTCTACATAACCCAGCTTCCACGACTGCAGGCACAGGGGGCCCAGGCCAGCGCCTAGTAAAGAAACTATTTCTGGGTCTTGAGGTGCCCAGCACCCTGTGGTTCTGAACTGGGCTCACTCCCAACACCCTGTGGCTCTTTATCACACTAACACCCCTTTTGGCTTTTTGGGAGGGATGTTTTGGAAGTGAGTGGCTGTCTGCCTACCTCCACTTTCCAGTCAGGGGCCCACGGGAAACCCTCAGCTGCTCCTTCCCCTGTGTCTGGATACAGGACACACACACACACACACACACACACACACACACTCACACTCACTCACTCCCTCCCTCCCTCCCTCCCTCCCTTCCTCCCTCACTCCGTGCCTTAGAGGCCTGTTGGACCCGCCAAATGGTGAGCTCCCCTGGAGGAGGGCAGGCCTGTCTCCCCTCACTTCCCCCAGACCTGAGACTCGCCAATTTTGGGCTGTTCAGTAGCCTCGGAGGACTTGAGACCATCTCACATAAGACCCATGGGCCAACCCTGATCCCAAATCCCCTTCCCTCCAAACCCAACCAGTTGACACCAGATGGCAGCCTCTGGAAACATGCCTTGTACGTGCCTTGAGATTGTCTGTCCACTCTCCAACTTTTTACTACAAGTTCAATGAGGGGCCTGTATCCTGGATTAAAACCCGTTTCCTTTTGTGCGCCGAGCATTTGCCAGATGCAGGAGGCAGGTGTGTTGGCTTCAGATCCGAGTCCTTGGGGCTTAGGGAGATGGCCTCCCAAGGTGACCGCGTGCCGACCTGGCACTTCATCAGGGGACCCGCTTGGGTAGTGCCAGACGCCTGCCTGCTCAGGGCCAGGTAGGTCCCACGGGTCCCACGCCCGCATTCCCAGGGGCACGCTGCTCAAGCTGTGGTGGTGAGCAGGGGTTGGGTGAGGTCTTAAAGGGCACACCACCACTGGGAGTGGAGGGATGTCTGATGTTTCCAGATTCTTCATCAATCCAGGTGTAAAAATACCAAATAATTTAGGCTCTTGTTTCCCCAAAGCAGAGATTGCAGCCTGACCAAGTATGCACACCTGTTTTATTTGGGCCACCCAGTATGTTACCAGGTGCCACACTTTAAAAGTGGGAGATTTCAAAAATCTGATTTGTCAGTGGGTCCATGAGTGGCAACAATTCCCAGAGCTGGTGGTGCAGCCCATGGTGGGCCAGCCAGAGGCCTGGAGGGCTCCAGTCACCCCATTTTGTCAGGTGGCAGCCTCTGGAAACGTTTGGGGTTGCATCCCTGGCTGTGATCAACTGAGTGCTCTTAAGAGCCATAGGGGGAGGGTACTTTTCCCATGAACCCCTTGGTCTCCATGAGGCTCCTGGGTGGGGACTGAGACCCGATTCACAAGGGAAGTTGGGTGAAGGTGGATGTGGCCAGACCAAGCCCATATCCCGTGGGCCTAGGAACAGTGGGGCTTCTTCCCAGAGCAGCCAGGGCCAGGGCCGCTGACCTTACAAACAAAGCTGTCCCCGTAATCCACCCCCAAGTACCCCAGCCCTGCCTGCACCTTAGCAAAGACCCCTGTGAATCCCAGCTCTGTTTATTGGGCACAAGGTGTGTGTGTGTGTGTGGGGTGGGGGGGGGCACGGGGGGGGGGGGTTCATACTGCCCCATTTCCACAGTAACCAAAATAAGGTTCTCTAATTTGCTGAGTCATTCCCAGATTGAATTAGTAAGCTAAATTCAAAGTAGAACCGGCATCTCCAAATAGTAAGATAAAAACCCTTTGTATCAAAGTGATTAAAAAAGTACAAAAGTTAAACAGGCATAGAGGAGATTGGCAATCTTGAAAAATGCCCTCAAAAGTCAGCCTCAAACCTCGCCTAATCTTGTAAGCTGGTGAACCCTGGAAGGCTAGCGCCCCTCGGAGGAGTGGGGGAACGATGGGTGAACTGAGCCTGCTGGCTTCCATGCTGGCAAACGTCTGCTGCCTCTGCAGTGTCGAATCCCCTCTGAGCAACGGGAATGCGTGGGACACAGGCACTTTGGAGCTGAGACAGAGGGCAGGGCTGGCCCACCAGGCGTTGTTCTGCTTTGCGGCCGCTCTCAGGAAGTGGGGGCCCTGCTCCCCTGGGCACTGCTGAGACCAGGCAGCAGGGTCTGGGGGCTGAGCTTGTGGTCACTACAGACTGACTACAACTCAACTCCAGGCCATTGTTTCCAGTCCTCGGTGTCCAAGGGAGGGCTGGTCCCAGAGCCTCAGGCCACCGGTGAGAGGGGAAGGCAGGCCAGTCAGGCCTCTGGGACCAGCTCTTGCCCTTCTGAGTGGGGGCCCAGCACTCAGCAGGAGCCAGGACGAGGGGCAGACTGAGGAAGTAGTGTCACTGTACAAGGAGGCGGCAGGCATGTCGGGACCTCGGCGAGCTGCTAGGACAGCATGGACTGCTGCACGGCCTTCTGCAGCGACTGCCGCGTCACCAGCAGGCGCACCACCTCCTCCGAGCGCTTGGTGAGCCGCTTCCGGGCCTGGTCGTGTGTGACCATGGTCATGTCCCAGCCGTTCACCTGACCCAGGGAGAAAATACAGCCACCTTAGCTCCCCACCCTCTGGGATCTGGAAGTAGGATGGGGTCTGGGGAGCCTGGGTTACCCAAGGAGGCCCCAAGCGGGTGACCCCTGGATAGGGGATGCCAAGCACCAGTTGCCACACACAGAAGAGAGCCAGCTTCCTCTGGGGCAAGGCCAGCGTGGGCTCCGAAATGGCTGGGGTGAGTCTCCCAGGAGGCAGGGGCCGCCTCAGCCCCACTCCCACATGCTTCAGCCCCTCCAACCCAAGCCTTGTTTTCCTCCTTTGGCACTTCTGTTACCTGCATGATCTTGTCTCCAATCTGTAGCCCAGCAATTTCAGCAGGGCCTCCTTCCGATACCCGTGTGACATAAATGCCCTGGAAACAGACAGCCCACGTCAAGCCCTGGGTTCACTGGACTGGCCCCTTATCCACAGAGCAAAGTCCAGTAGGCATATGCCCAGCTGTCCATCTGTCTATCCCTGCACTGAGCCTCCCTCCAGCCCCCACCCCCAGGCACAGGCTGTGCCAAGACAGCCAAGGGGACAGCTGGCTGCCCCAGGGATGCTCCAGCCCCTGCTGCTCCTGGGCTCTGTGTAAACGGGCCTTCCTCGGGCTGGGCAGCCCACTCCTCACCCCCACCCCTATTTATTCCCACCAGATCACTTCTTAGACCTTCTTAGAGGGGACTGCTGGCGAGAGACTAGGTCTGCTCCTTCCACAAAGGCCCGGGAAGCAGAGACCCACCATCTCAGGCCTCTGCTGCATGGAGAGGCCCCAGGACTCTGGTCCTCACCTTATCCGTCTTGTCTTCTGAGAAAGGATTCTGGGAGGGATCCTGGTCAATTCCACCTCCAATGCTGAAGCCCAGGATTAAATTCTCACCTTGACGCAGCTTATGAATTTCAACTCTTTGCTGGCAAAGAAAAGAATGAGTTGGGGGTGAGTAGAGAACAAATCTGATCTGTATCTCCCGCACCCACCCCCGGCTGCTGGAACAGCTCAGCCATGCCAGGAGGGTGGGGACCAGGGCCCTCTGCAGAAATCCAGCTGGTCACCAGCCTGGGAGGCTGGGGGGTTGAGACTCGACTCAGCCACATCAACTCTCCCACATCACACTCTGCCCCAACCTCTCTCCCCTTCCTCTGTCTCAGGCATCAGCCTTAGTCAACAGGTGCTCTCAGCCCCGGTTGCTATGGTTGCTACGGATGGGGGGCTGTACCCCAAGGGAGGGATCACTCAGGGCAGAAGGGCTCAGGCCCTAAAACAACTGCAGGCAGATTGCCGAGGCAGCCCAGGTCAGGGCAACACAGAGGATGCTCAGGAAAAGTGGAGATCAAACTCACACAGGAAGGAGAGGAGGGGCTGTCCTGGCCAAGGGAATAGGAGCAGAGGCTTGAAGGTGCCATACATAAAGGTCCATGGAACCAGGGTGTACAGCGCAGGACCGGAACTGGGAGGTGAGAAGAGGCTAAGAGGCTGGGGCCAGACAGGAAGGCCCTGGAGACTGGGCCCCAGGGAGGGTCTTTTCCCTAAGCCCCAGGCCCTGCTCTTGTGCAGTGGAGGAGGTGGAGGAGAGTCCTAGGGTTCTCCTACCATATCTGGAGCTGTGGTCCCCAACTGTGCCAGGCTCCTTTCAAAGCCCTCAGCTACAGTCACCAAATACTGGAATCAGATCAGATCACACCACTCCAAAAGGTGACTTGATCTGGACCTGAGGGAGTGACCAGGTCGCTGTGACCTGATCTTCATTCTGGGCCCACTGGAGCGCTCGAGAGTTGGGAAGTAGGGCTGGTTGTGATCGGGTTAGATGCTAGAATGACCACTTGGGTAGTAGGGAATGGATTCCTCTTAGAGGTGGGATGTAGAGGCCAGGAGACATGAACTACTTGTAAAGTGACATCAGCAGACTTGAGGGCTGTTCATAGCACAGAGGAGTCAAGGGGAGCCTCTGGCCACCTGGCCTGGCTGAATACAACCATCTCATGTTGAGTTTGAGTGCCAGGAGCCATTCAGGCGGGTATCCAGAAGGCAGATGGGCCTCTGGAGCCAGAGTTCCCAGGGGCCAAAATGGTTTCAATATTCTCAAGATGTTAACTACACCCAGCCAGCGTGGCTCAGTGGTTGAGCATCGACCTATGAACCAGGAGGTCAGGGTTCCATTCCCGGTCAGGGCACATGCCCGGATTGTGGGCTCGATCCCCAGTGTGGGGTGTGAGGGAGGCAGCCAATCAAGGATTCTCTCTCATCATTGATGTTTCTATCTCGCTCTCCCTTTCCTTCCTCTCTGAAATCAATAAAAATATATTTTTTTAAAAAAAGTTAACTACATGGAAGATGACAAGGGCCAGGGAGGAAGCCTCTCCCACCCATCCCTAGTCAAATACACGAGAGGCCAAACCCCACCCACCATGTTCAGACATGTGTTAGAAGAATTGGGAGGTCATGGTCCTACAGCTTGGAGGAAGGCCCAGGGACCAGCCATGACATGTTAGAGGGGGGAGCAAGAGCAAAACCCCTGAGGCCCACCAGGCCTAGATCCTCATGCCCTAGGTCCTCCAGGCCTGCTCCAATACATACCTTTGACCCACCTTCAAGGTAAAAAAGTACAGAAAAAAAAAAAGTGCAGGCTCTTGGGCTGGGAGACAGGCCCTGTCACTGAGTTGGGTGAAATCAGGCCGGTTACTGTCACCCCTTTTTTTCCAGGTAAGGAGCAAGCCTGGCCCCTCCTCCTCTCTGGGCAGCGAGGGATCTGGAAGTCAGGCTGGTGTAGCAGGCTGAAGCTTAGGGTGGCTTGGCAAGCCCAGCAATGTTTCCTCCTGGCCCAGGCCTGCCTCTGTGCTCACCTTATCAGTGACTTCACACCACACCACCTGACTCCCAGCACACCCATCTGAGATCATGACCCCAGAGCGGGGACTTCCACCTGACCCAATGCCTGCCCAACAGGCATTTCTTCTCAGAGATCCGGGTCCGTCCTGAGGGCTTCTTTTTGGGGCTGGCCATGACCAGACCTCTCTGGGACTCGAGTCCCCACCTCCTGGCCTGCAGGTCCCATCCAAGCTGTGGCTCTGACATCTAGGTCTAATGTCCTAGCCTCCCTTCCTTCCTTGGATGATTCTAATTGCACTTGACACCCAAGACAAGCCAGGGGGAGGGGAGAAGTGGGGGGCCCGGGGTCTGAGCTGACCCCAAAGGGTCTCTCCGGCCCCAAGTGCCAGGCAGGGGACCTGGACTTTGCCCCAAGGCCTGGGGATCCTGGGAACGTTCCAAGCGGGACCGAGCCAGTTGTATGAGACTTCACTCTGGACTGGGTGGTGGCGAGTCCGAGGAAGCAGGGCTGGACGTGAGGAGGGGTAAGGGGCGGCGGCGCCCCTGGCGTGGAGGAAGCACTTCCTCATTCCAGAGGCTGCGACTCACGGATGTCCGGGCCCGCACCCGCCCCCCGCGGCTACCCAGCTGAGATCACAGGTCCGGGAAGGCCCTGGGTGCTTGACTAGGTCCCCACAACCCGGCCTTTCTCCTCCGTCCTCCGCCCGGGCCGGCTGAAAGGAGTCCAACGCGGCGGCGGCGGCGGCCGGGGACTGGCCAGGTCCAGGATCTGAGGCTCCTGGGTCCCAGCCTTCCCTGTTCTGGCTGGGAGCCCGCGGCTGAAACCAGGACCGAAGCTCTGGCCGCGGGTTTGCAGGAGCCCGGGGTTCGCCGCTTTGCCAACCTGTATGGGGTGTCAGTTTACCGCTCTGCAAAGTGGGAGCAAGCCAAGGGGAGGAGGAGCCCCCGCGAGAGCACTCACCACCACGGCCGTGACCGGCTGGCCCGGGATGTAGGACATCTCGACCCCAATCTGGCAGCCAAGTACCGCTCAGCGAAGCCCGCGGTGAAAATCCCGGCGACCGCGCCCTCTGGTTAACAAAGGCCGCCCGGCTCGGCCCGCCCCCTCATGAATAGTTAACAAGCCTCCAGCCAATCACCCGTCGGGTCGCTGTTCCGCTTTCGGAAGTCCCAGGGGGTGAGTAGTAAAGCGGGGAGGAGGCGGAGCCTGCCTGGGCGCCCCGCGGCGCATGCGCTAGAGGGCGGGCGCCAGGTCTGGACGCGTGCGCAGCCCGGGCCCTCCCAGCAGGCTCTGGGGCAAGATGGCGCCGCAGGGGTCTGCACCGCCGACTGTCTGAGGGGACGCGGAGGGACGGCGACCCTGTTCCAGGTAAGCGGGCGAGCCTGGGCGGGGGGTGCAGACGTGCTGCCGCTCCCCGACCCCCGGCTGGCCTCCTCGGGCCGCGGGAAGGTGAAGCCCCAGGGGGGAGGAGCGGCGTGAACCCCGCTCGCCACGCTCCCGGCGCCACTTGCCCCTCGGTTTTCTCCGCAGCTCCGCGGGAAAGCAGAGGCCGGGCGCCAGGGGCGCGATGGCCGCGGTGGTGGCCAAGCGGGAAGGGCCGCCGTTCATCAGCGAGGCCGCCGTGCGAGGCAACGCCGCGGTCCTGGATTACTGCCGCACCTCGGTGTCGGCGCTGTCGGGGGCCACGGCCGGCATCCTCGGCCTCACCGGCCTCTACGGCTTCATCTTCTACCTGCTCGCCTCCGTCCTGCTCTCCCTGCTGCTCATCCTCAAGGCGGGCAGGAGGTGGAACAAATACTTTAAGTCCCGGCGGCCCCTCTTCACGGGCGGCCTGGTCGGAGGCCTCTTCACCTACGTGCTGTTCTGGACGTTCCTCTACGGCATGGTGCACGTCTACTGACGCGGGGCCGGGCGCCCCGGCTCTCGGAGAAAAGCAGACGGTGACCGCGTGTAGACCGACTTCGTGTTTAAGTCGCTGGATTCACTGCTTGTTCTGTAACGTTATAACTTAGACCGGAGGACGGAGAGCCTGTGATAGCCTTCAGATTAAATTGAAGCGTGAGACGCCTGACGGAGTGTTTCCTGCCTGAACGCACCCTCCCCGCCCTCGCCCCAACCCCCCGTCTGTCGTGGGTGCAAAAGCACCAGGTGTTGAAGCTCCTGGAGAGCCGGGAGTGAGGCGTGGCCGTCGGTAACGGAGATGACTTACTGTTCACACCTGTAGAACCAGTAACTGGGGGTGTGTAGTGTGTGCCCTGTATACCAGGCGTGATGCCGCGTGGGTTTTACGCCCATGATCTCGTTTGATTCTAGCAATGTCCTCATGGAGTAGATGTGATCCTTGTCCCCATTGGTGTACCTAAGGCTCCAGAGGAGGCACAGCTCCGAAGGACAGAGCCTGGATTCACATGTAGGTCTCTTCCCCCACCCCAATATATTTTTCTTGATTTCAGAGAGGAAGGGAGAGAGAGAGAGAGAGAGAGAGAGAGAGAGAGAGAGAAACATCAATGATGAGAGAGAATCATTGATTGGCTGCTTCTACGTGCTCCCTACTGGGGATCAAGCCACAACCTGGGCATGTGCCCTCCCGGTTCATAGGTCCACTCTCGAACCCTGAGCCGCCCCGGCTGGGCCTCGTGTAGGTCTCCTAATTGCTCTTGCTGTATTGGCTGAGTGAACCTTTTCCAGCCCAGCTTTCCCTTCCACTAAACACTGCTTTCAGGTGTGAGTGGTGTCCTGTCAGTTCCGTTTCACCTCGTTACAGCCAGCTGTCATTTCCACTTAAAAAAATTAATTCAAGCTGTCTTCTAAAATACGTCTCATGAAGATTAGACAGATTGGATGTTTGTAAACTAATCTGTGGGCTTGTCTAGAGGATCTCTGTATGCTAATCGGTGATTCCTTCTTGTCAGGAGGAATCTTATAATAAAATTCATATTTTAATTGAGGGATAAGTATTGCGTTAAAGTTATAGTAGTGAACATGTTGCTCATGGAATTTATACTCTTAACTGGGAAGACCAGCATTACCTCATTTCACAAATGTTTGAATGATGGTAAGTGCTATGAAGAGACGACATAGGCACTCCAAACTGAACCCAGGTGGGGGGGGGGGGGGGGTCAAGAAAGTCTTCTTTGAGGAAATCACATTAGAGAACCAAAGGCTGCATAACAGCCAAGTGTGGAGAAGGGTACTTGGAAGAAAGCACGTGTGTGAGGGCCATTGGGCAGGAAGGGGTCTGGCCTGTATCTGAAGCCGAGATAGAGCTGGACCAGAAAGAACATGGAGGGCCATGGTGGAGAGTGGCTTTGATTCTAAGAGCAACTGAGGGAAGTCTTCAGGAGTTTTAGCCCAGAGTTATGTGATCAGATTTGGATTTTTTAATCAGTTTTAGATAGAAGGGAAATAGATTGAACCCAAGTCCCCTTTTGCAGACAGTATTGGGCCATGGCCAATAATGGAAATGGGTCTGGGATCCAGGCTGCCTGAATCCCATTTGGGTTCTGGGCTACGTGCTTGCACAGGAAGCCAAGAATCGGAGGCCACAGCTTCGCCTCCCTCTCCTCCAGTGGCTTCCTCTGAACCCACTCAGTCCACCGCTGAAGATACTCGCTTTAATGGTTTGCATCCCCAATCCTCTCGGGGCCTTTTCTGAGTGGGAAGGGGGAGTTCATTCCTGATGTGGGCTAAGGAGGAAGAAGCAGTGGGTCCTACTTGGGGGGGTAGGAAGGAGGGGAGGCAAATGAGCTGATTTACCTAACCATTCCTCTGTTGTTAGGCAGTAAGATTGTTTGAAATGATCACTATTACAAAAATACTGCAATGAATGTCTACATATCTATATTGTTTTGAGAATAGGCTAGAGCAGAAGATTAAAACTTAATTTCAAATGCTTTCCAGAGTATTACCAGATTACTCGTTGAATGAAAAGTGCCAGTTTTATCAGTGCCTTCTTAGTCTTAATGTTTGCTCATTTAAAGAGTTTCCTTTCATTTTAATTTCTTTGCAAGATAATAAGGAACATAATATATTGTCCGCTAATGTTTTCTGTGTCTGTTAGGCAGTAAGATTGTTTGAAATGATCACTATTACAAAAATACTGCAATGAATGTCTACATATCTATATTGTTTTGAGAATAGGCTAGAGCAGAAGATTAAAACTTAATTTCAAATGCTTTCCAGAGTATTACCAGATTACTCGTTGAATGAAAAGTGCCAGTTTTATCAGTGCCTTCTTAGTCTTAATGTTTGCTCATTTAAAGAGTTTCCTTTCATTTTAATTTCTTTGCAAGATAATAAGGAACATAATATATTGTCCGCTAATGTTTTCTGTGTCTGCCTCTTTTGGGCTCACTTTCTCCTTACATTTTAATCTAAAACATGGGTGACCATGCAGACGTGAAGGGGGAAAAAATCATGACACATCTAAAGTTAACCTTTGTGTCGTTTTATAACAGAGTTTTATAACCAAATTAAAATGTCAGAGAATACATACACTGGGCCATCCCAGAAAATGTGCCAGCTTCCTCCCCCTCCCTTTGGTTCTGGTACCGGCCTGAGGGGAAACCCACAGCTGGAAGGAAGGCGTGCCTTAGGGGGAGAGCATTCTTGTGTCCACTGGAGAGTGTGCTCTGAGGAAAGGTGCATCACTTGGGTGCAGGAGGTGGGTTGGAACCAAGTGGAGCCCTTTTCCAGATATACAAGATGCCATTCCAAGTGGAATGACTTAGCGACTCTGTAGTCCCTAGGCAGAGCGCTGTAGTCCTTAACCCGGTGCTTAGACTCCTGGAGGAAGTCACATTCCCCCTTCACAGCTGGTCCCCCAGTTGGCAGTCAGCCACTAAGAAAGAACTGATGGGGTGGCAGGGGAAAAGGCAGCTGTGATTGGTCAGTCCTGATGGCCCCTGCATCGGGAGGGGAGTGCACTGAGCTCTTTGCTGGCTGGTCCCTGTGATGTCATATTGATGGCACCCAATTTACAGATTTATTTTTGAGCTGTAGCATGGCACTCCCGAGGCGTGGAATAAAAACACAGCAGCAGCAGGGGAATGTGCAGAAGCAAGGGGATGTGGGCAGTGTGCAGCTGTCCAGTGCTGTGAGGGTCACTGGCTTTTCTCAGCATGGTGTCCCTGACAGGTAGTAGGGAGGCCACCTGGACAGCTTTTCTGGACTTGAAGAAGTAATTAGGTTGAGCAAGTCCTCTATGGCTGTGAAGTTTATTGGGGCAGCGGTTAAAGTAAGTTGAAAAGAAGGCCTCACAGCTCCAATCAGTCTTCATCCAGTTCCTTACCTGGAATGCTTCCCCCGTCACCTACTTAGACTGCTACTAACCATTCAGATGTGAGTTTATATGTCGCTTTTTTGGGGAAACTCTCTGGCTACTCCACCGAAAACTCAGTTCAGTCTGTGGTGTGTGTGACGACCGGTTATTAAGGTTTAGCCCCAGGACTGGAAACACTCCAGCAGGGACTCCGTGTTGCTTGCCACTGTGTCGCTAGCATTTAATCCAACACTTGACACAGTAGGTATTCAATAAATATTTACTCACTGAATAGTGTAGGAGGACATTTTCATTCCAATATAAAATAAACAGTACAACTGTTGCTAGGTTTTATGGCTCCTGCCAAGCAATTCCAAAAATAGGTTAAGAGAAACCAGATCAACCCTGAGCAGCCATGCCCCTGCCCTTGTTACTTCCTGCTAAACATAAAAGAGGCTAGATTACCCAATCCAAGAGTTGGCTTTAGTGATGAAGTGAAACATCATAATGGATCGCCCCGATTTTTCACTTTTTTTTTTAATATATTTTATTGATTTTTTTTTTAGAGGAAGGGAGAGGGATAGAGAGTTAGAAACATCAATCAGCTGCCTCCTGCACACCCCCTACTGGGGGATGTGCCTGCAACCAAGGTACATGCCCTTGACTGGAATCGAACCTGGGACCCTTTAGTCCTCAGGCCGATGCTCTATCTACTGAGCCAAACCGGTTAGGGCAATTTTTCACTTTCTATTCAGAGAGCAGGTGGGCTGTGGACTGGTTACCAGGCAGCCCACGGTGAGGGAGCTGCTTGCTCCAAAAGGGTTCCTGTTCCGGGGACCACAACCTTCTGCCCTGGTGATGGAGCCTCACCAGAAACCTTCCAGGCCCCTTCTGACCCTCTCCAAAGGCCCCAGGGGAAGGGTGCTCACCCCTCCTCTGTGTGCAGAGAACCAGGCTCCCCTGACTCCAGGGAGGTCCGAGGGAGCACTTCCAGTAGGAGCTCCCCAGTGTCCTGGCAGCTGTGCAACAGGCACTGCAGGCCTTTGCGGCCATAGTTCAGAGTTCTAGGCCTCTCCCCCTGGGTTTACACAGGGGCTCCCAGACCCGGGGAGGGAGAAGCGAGCTCTCTGGCTCCCAGCCCATTCCATCGTGTCCCTTTCTGACAGGAGACGTGGTCTGATGCTGCAGGCATGAGGAAAAGTTCACGTCCTGAGTAACAAGTGGATTCTCAGTTTGAAAATGAGGGAGCCTCTTGGAATTGGTAACACAGGTGGCCTCAAGAACGGGTGGGAGGGAAGCTTTTGCTATTCTTTTGTACCTTTAAAATTTTGAATCATGTAAGTGTTGCCTAGTTAAAATATTTTGATTTAAATGAACTGAGTGTAATGCTCCTTTCCCTGGGGCAGGAAGGGGGTCCTGTCAGTTTCAAGGGAGAATGTGTGTGCTAGTAAGTTTGGCCTGGAAATTGGCACCACCCACCGAAGCTGGCTCTTTCCTCCCTCGGAACCAGGCTTTGCAGAGCTCCCCACCCTTGCAGGGCTTCTGAGTGTAAGGAGCACACGAATCCCCTGGGAGCCCCACTGCAACACAGGCCCTGATTTAGGAGGAAGGGAAGGGCTAACAAGCTCCCAGGTGATGCCGAGGCTGCTGGTCCAGGGACCACACCTTGAGGAGAGACGCTCTACAGACAGTAAGGGAGGGAGCAGCAGGGTGGGGTGAGGGGTGAGGGCCTCCCTAACTGCTCCCACCTGCTGAGTGAGCACCCTGTCCTTAGCCCTTCAGACCCAGCCAGCCTTTGAGGAGAGAGGAAGGGGAGCTGGGCAAGGACACCAACCCCACAGAACAGCAAGAGCCAAACCAGAGACAATGGCTCCCATCTGGGCGAGATGCTATGCCCAGAGCCTCCCCAGGCTGGGCAGGTGAGACTGGAGTGAGGCCTCCCTGCCTCCCCTCTGTGAAAGCTAGAGGCTGGAGGAAGGCCACAATGGCTGAGCCTGGCTGTGAGTCTGTTGTCTCTAGAGGGAATTACACAGTTGCTCGGCTCCCTGAGGGCCAGGTCAGGGTCTCATTTAAGCATCTCTTGGATAGGGCCCAGCCCACAGCAAAAAAAGTTTACTGCATGTATGAATAAATGAGTGAATGAATGTCCAACTAGGTTCTCAGAAAACATGAAAACACCTAGTATCATTTACACCCTGGCCTGCCCCTGCCCTCTCCAGCGTTTCCCCTCCCCCACACACAACAAAAAGCTTGTAGCAAGATCCCAAAGTGCAAGAGGGATGGTGGCTCCTGGAAGGCCCAATCCATGCAGACACAGAGGCTCCTCGCTCTTCCCGTTCAGAGCTGCAGCCGGTTCTGCCCAGCGTCTTCACTAAATCTGCTCTCAGCCGCCTCTGGCTACGCCTCCACTGTCTGCAGGTTCTGCAGCTGCTCCACGGTCACCTTTCCATTCCCCGGGTGGCCAGACCTGCGTGTGGGTGGTGAGGGGCACACAGAGGGTAGTTGGGAACCCTGTGGACAGGGACAGCCTCGCACAGGCAGCACTGCAGGCAGAGCATCCGCAGAGAGGGGCCGTGCCGGGGTCCCTGCTGCAGCCCAGGCACTCAGATGCTCAGGCCGGGCCTCTGGAGCTGCCCCAGCAATGACAGCAGCCACCACATGACCAGCATGGTGGCCATTCTTCCCTCTCACAGGCTAAGGAGCTCAGGCAAGCACCCAAGAAGTGACAGCACAGGGAGCATGTGGGGGCTGCTGGGTGCCCAGCCACCCCAGCAGATCCCCAGCCTCCACTGCCTCCTGGCCCCAGCTGCTGCAGTCCCTACAACCTCTCTTCACTCCTCTCCATCCTCTGCCCTTCCTCTCTGTCCTTTTCCTGCCCAGGCCCAGCTTCTGGTTGGAGGCTGCCAACTCCTGAGTTGGCCGAGAATGAAAGCTGGGGTGGGAGGAAAGTCCACCCAGGCCAGTGAACTCCTCCTGGGATGTGGTTTACAAGAGGAGAGTCACAGAATCATAGCCTGACTGAACATGGGGGCTCCTCTGTGCAGCCCCCACTGGGAAAAAAATGGGGGGAGGGAGGCGGGCCCAGAAAAGGCCAGGCCCCTGCTCAAAGGCGCAGAGCAAGGCAGAGGGGCCGGGCGGACCTGAAGGCCACCTCCTGCACCAGGTTGAGGTTCCATCTTCAGAACCAACCGTGCTGCCCAGGGAAGGACCACCTGTCAGCACAGCCACCACCCTTCTGAGCCTAGGGCAGCTGCAGAATTTCCACTGAGAGGCACTTAGGGAAGGCATCTGGCTGGGTGAGGGGGTGGGGGGCTTGGTAAAGCAGAATAACCTGATGGAAAAGAACTGATTCTAGACACACTGCCTGGATTCAAACCCCAGCTCTGCCATTTATTAGCTGTATGACTTAACTTACTTAACCTTTCTGTGCCTCTGTTTCCTCATTAGTGGAATAGAGACTGTTAGTGCCCAGCTCATTAAAGTTGCTGATGTGAGTTCACATATACAAATTGCTCAGAGCTGTGCTGGGCAGAGAGTGAGCCTGAGTAAATGACAGCACTGTTGTCTTAACGCTGGGATAGCACAGCAAGCAGACTGCCTTGTGGTTGCTTAGGGGGGCTGGGGAGCTAATGAGGGTCATGGAGGGGCTAAAGCACCACCAGCACCCTCTCCCCCCAGAGTCCAGCTTGGTTGGGTGCTCCTGGGTCCTGCCTTATGCACAGGTCACCACAGAGCAGGGACCACAGCAGCCTGCTCCAGGAGGTGCCAGCACGCTCAGCCATTCTCCTGGCCACCTTCGTCCTGTGCCCAACAGCCCAGGCCCCTCTTCTTCCTTCAGCCTCTGTGACCCTGTTCTGCTGCAAGGACTCTGTCCACAGGGCAAGGATCTCTAGGCACCTGGGCAGGACTTGCTGTTAACCTGGCCTGCACAGCCTGGCCTCCCCCAAGGACTGGTGGGGCAGGCCCTGCAGATGGTGCCCCTCTTCCTCCAGCAGCTCAGTTGGGGTGGCAGGAGCGGTCAGGGCTCAGCCTAAGAACCAGGCTGGGGTTCAAGCCAGGTGAATGATGCGAGCTGGCCACCTGCTGTCTCAGGTTGTGGTGGGACTGAGGGAGCGCCACTTCGAAACTCCCCATTCTAATCCCAGCTCCTCCAGGGAGCCTTCCCAAGGGCTGGGCTAGAGCCCCTGCCCCTTCCTTCCCGCCCACAGACACACACAGCCTGGAAATGGGCTCCTGTAGTAAAAAAAGGAAATCCATTTTTTTCTTCCCTTAATCCATTTTTTTCTTCCCTTACCACTCCAGCCTCAACCCCAGCCCAGGACCACCAAGTCCAAGAATACTAAATTGTAACTGCAACAAGTCACTGTATATAAACCAATTCTCTCATTTTGCAGAGAGAAATTGAGGCCCAAGGAGGCCTGGAAACCAGGTCTGCCCACCAGGTATGTGGTGGCTTTTCCCTCTGCCAGCTGCTCTGAGGCGGAGTCTGGTTCTGTAGAGCATGTACTCAGAACAGTCCACCTTCCCTCCCTTCCGGGGCGGCTCCCCATGTTCACCCCTGCCTCCACCCACCAGGCGCAGCCATCCACCCAGGGTAAAGGTCCTAAGACAGGGAGGGGGAGGCTGGCTCCACAGGGCTCCCCTGGGACTACTGGGGAGGAAGCATAACTGACCGTACTTCCTCGAATTTCTTGTTGCGGTAAAAGTGGCTCTTTTTGATGAAGTAGATGAGTATCAGGTCGCAGAAGAAAGACCCCTGCAAAAGAGTTGGGGGTCCCTGACTCAGACCCTAGACTTCTGGAGAGCCCACAGGCACCTGACCACTGTATCCTGTTTGATCCTGTAACAATCCCAGAAGCATGCATCATTGTCCCCATTTCATAGATGGGGAAACTGAGATCAGAAAGAGGTGCCTTTTGCCCTAGCTGGTTTGGATCAATGGATAGAGCATCGGCCTCGGACTGAAGGGTCCCAGGTTCGATTCCAGCCAAGGGTACATGCCTGGGTTGCAGGCTCAATACCCAGTGAGGGGCGTGCAGGAGGCAGCTGATCCATGATTCTCTCTCATCATTGATGTTTCTATCTATCTCTCCCTCTCCCTTCCTCTCTAAAATCAATAGAATATATATATATAATTTTTTTTAAAGACATCTTTAAGGTCACAAAGCTGGTCCACAGGAGAGCCCAGGTGAGCCTGAAGTCCATCTAATCATGTTTAACAAACATCTGCTGAGCATTCACACGTGCCAGGTACTGCCCTGGGGTGCAGGGAGGACTAAGGCAATGAGACCCTCTGAGGACTCCCCCTCTCTGGTGCAAGAGACAGGCATGCAACTTGTGACACACGGTGATGTGTCGTATGATGGGGAGAGGAGGACCAAGGAGAGCGAGGGCAGGACTTGACTCAGTCTGGGTTGAGTCTTGAGGGCTAAATAGGATTAATACAAAAAGCTCAGGAAGGGCATTGCAGCAGCAGGAACAAGCTCGTCATGCCTGGGAAATCCACAGGGCTGTGGGGAAGAGGAAAGACACTTCTGGAGAGCTGGGTGGGTGGGGCCAGCCTGTGACGCTTCCGTGAAATGTCTTCAAGGCACTGGTTCTCTTCCTTCTAGG